GAGGAATCTGATTTTCCATTGTGGTTGCTGAAGATGCTAGTTGCGGGGACAGAGAGGATTCTTCTCCTAACGATCTACTGGTTTGGGAACTCTTCTGGTGTTCCAAACCTGCATCTGACAACCTTTCAGCATCTCCTGCCGACAACGAGCCAAGGCTTGAGCCAATGTCACTATCATTGGACTGGACACGCGGAGTCTTGGATATTCCAGCTACGTCTGGTGGCTCTCCCGGTTCAGGATCTCCGTGATCTTTCCAGTACCATGGGAAGTTCATGTTGTGTCCAAATATGACGGCTCCTAGCTTTTCCCGCCTGGGGCTCCGTTTTGGGATGATACGGCTCAGAGTCGAAGGGAGCAGGACTTGCGAAAAGTCCGAGTGCTCATTACGGCTCTTGGACAGCGTCCTACGTGGATGTGAGATCATGCAGCAGCACTGTCCATCTCCCGGGTCTGGGCTGTGCCAAAAGATGTCGTTGCAGATTCGCAGGGGGTTCGATTGCGGATCGCCATGCATATCTATGATCTCATTGAGATCTGGAACACTCACGGCGAGATAGTATGTGCCTTTGGGTACTTGAGCCCAATAATCGCAGGTCTTGCAGGTCTCTGCTGGCTGGATGATCTCGCCGAACTTTTTTCCAAATAAAACTATGGCATGGATACTTCTCGTAAAGTCGACCCAGCCTTTGCCAATTGCCTGCAGCCTAGCCACGCGGGGATAGAACGGATCATTATCCATGGCAAGGTCTTTGAAGTCCCATCCTTCGAGGTGCGTTCGGGCCCTGAACTTCACCTTCACTCCCTGTTGGCCGTTGGCGTTGATCTCATAGTCGATCATTTTCTCTAGACTCTCGTAAAGCTGCTCGACTCTGTCCTGAAAGCAATAGTATGATCTCTCCATGCGCTGTGCAAGAATGTTGGTGTGGACGTCTTCGTTGGCATCTTCTCCGCTCTCATCGTAAATTTTCAGCTTCCTGTTTTGCGGGTGCATAAGTACCTCAAGGGCAGAGTCCGGAGTGTGCGGTGAGGCAGCTTCCACCAGTTGATCTGGCCGGAAGGTATATACGGATCGAAATTTCCCGGTTCTGTTTTGCTCCAGGGACGCGCGTACGAGATGGAGCAACGCACTCGTGCCATTAACCAACCAACCACGTTTGTCACCTTCATCCCAGAGCACAACGAACTTCTTGGAAATCCACTCGAGCACCGTATGTAACCCTGTCGTGATATCCGAACCGGTTTGTCTCTGTTTCCGAGGACAACTGAAACTCCGCCGCTAATGAACTGTCCACCGCTGATGGAACACTTTTCGAGGATACAGCCCGCATGGGGTAGCGGGAGTCTCGATCTCTCTATGCTGTAACTTGCATCAGCGGTCTTGTTTAATGCAGTGTTAGTAAGAATAGCATATCTGGGTCGTCGGTGGGCTACATACCGGCATGGTATATCGCGTCCGAACACCAACCAACTACGTGGCGGTATCTCTCCAAACTATCAACGGTGACTTGTCTCTCATGTTCGCCCGTTTTCTCAAGGTAGGAAATACGTTCTCCATCCTTGTTGCACAGAAGGTGCCAGATGTAATAGTAAGTCTCCAGACTTTCTTGCAGGAATTAGCATTGATGAAAATCCCTTGATAAAGACCTTCCCATCGAAGACGTTCACGCGGTTTGTGTCTACTAGCGCTGACATGATATTAAGCGGTATTTCCAGGCCGGTCTCAATTTTTGATCTGCGTGGGATCGGATACCCTTTGACAACGACGGGGTTTCTGAACAGGTCAAACCAACATTGGCAATTAGACGGCTTGAGACCCTCTTGAATTGTCTCAATGACAAAATCAATTCTGAAAAAGACACGTCCGGACTCTTGCGAAGAGAGCTTCCTGATATATGGCTTACAGAAAGCCACCCCAGTCTCGAATGGCGAGGAGCGGAGGGCAGCACCTAGCCACCCGAGCTGTTGACCAATCTCCGCAAGTGAATCTACTGTGCCAGAAGCGAAAAGAATAAAATGGCGTTTTTCGATCCATGCTTTGAGATTGTTTTCTGGATCTAGACAATAAATCAGCTCTACTCGGACAGATGTAGACATTGTCAACGTGCTTACTAGTGTGACGAGTTACACGACTACGTCGAGTATCGCTAACCACGCGTCCTAGGAGCTTCATGATAAGCTTCCCAGTTACAGGCCACGTCTGAGATATATATTGGGAACAGAACAGAGCTTGTGCGTCCGTATTGGAACCAGTGATTGTGAGGGCATTGTGGACAGAGTCTTCGGGCCGTGCTGGGTATTATCCTGGACTCGATCCTCTGCATCGCTCGGCGTTTAATAATTTTGGGTTTAAACCGTGACCGTCTTTCTGCCACTAGCTTTGAAATACATGTGTCACTATCTTGCAGGACCTCTTTCATAGTTTCGAGGATTTGCTGCTCGTCCTGATCTGTGTGATCAAAGCCAGTCTGGCTTTGCCTCCTGATGAGAGCGGTAAATAGTATTTCAAGGGTATCATGGAGCCGTTTCAATCTCCTCAGGAGTCCTAGCTCTTTGTCCTGGGCATGCTGAACCTCATCCGTAAACCCAGTAACTTTTATCTGGAGATTTCCTGAAAACGTCACTAGCTGGGCAATCGATGATGTTACAGCTGCCGGCTCCATGATACTATCACCATTGAGGGTTCAGAGGTTCAAATTAGGTCAAGGTTCAGGGAGTGATGGGGGATACTTGGAGTGTCAAAGACCGCATGGGAAGTTCGAGGATTGTCTGGGGGAAAGGGCGTTAAATGACGAGCCGCCCTGCCGCAGTCGCGGGGTCACGGCCTCGTTCAGCCTTGCCAACGCCCTGCCAAAACTGCCCTTAGATTGGTGTGAGCGACCGAGTGTTTCCTTTTTATTCGGACTGGGCAGTCGAGTTTCCTGAAAGGTCGTACCAAGGCACTTTCCAGTCCAACGCAGTTGCAGGTGCCCTACGGAATACGCCAGAATAGGAGTGGCGTACATGTGGGCCAATCTCCGCGAGAGGCTCTAGACTCCCTCCAAATGGCCACGTATTCTGACCTTCTGACGGTGTACTGGCTAGTCATTGCAAAGAGTCACACTTGAATTTGAAGTCGTTCCATTTTAGTCTGGAGTTGACTCGACGGAGAATCGAATTCTGTGCCGTACATAACCGGTAGCCCCTATGATGAAACGAATGTCATTGACATCAGTCAATATATCCAGTTGAACATGCGACGGACATGTCTGTTCGGCCCTTGTGCTCTAAAATTGCTGACAAGAATATTCCACAGTCATTGCATACTTACGTAGTCAAGTTGCCTCTTGCAGCTTTGCGCTCGTCACGTGCTGTATTGGTGGTTTCGAATTGATTGCGAGAAAGCTCTATCTGTCGCGAGCAGTTCATTGATAGGCTGTTGGTTTTGTTAGTTTTGTCGATTTCAAGCGTATCCAGGCACTTGAAGTCACCAGTGAGATAGTATCACGGTATTATTAAGAGGGTCTAGGATTCAGATGCAAGTTATAAAGTCACACGTTGTCGTAGTTGCCAGATTTAATAGCTAAGAAATTTTTGAACCTATATATAGGTCTTCAAATTTTTTGATCAGTTTTGAAAATTCAAGAACTGATAAAAAATTACCTTAAATTCTAAATGGTGGCTGCTGCTTTGGCAATAATACTGGAGGTACGTAAACGAGAATAGGCTGTCTTATGTAACTTGCAGCTCCCCAACGCGCATCTCGACCCAAAAGTCACATGGATATCAACGACATCCTGGGATTTGAAATAGGGATTATTAATTACACCGCCTCCTAATTCTCTTCAGGAAATGTCTGAAAGCACTGCAATACCAAGTTAACTAGTGGATTTGATTGCCTTTTTTTTTTTCGTATTCCAGACTGTAATGTGATACAAAATCGATTTTTTTTAACTACCACTACCAACGCCCAATACATGCATTACTTCTGAAATGATCAAAGTTTGAAGCCAAAATCACCATACAAAATCTTTTTTTTATATACTCCGTATGCTCGAACTACTCAGTATTCTCAGCCTGCAGTTTGATATTAGGTGGTGCAGCGCACCACCACTAGCAGGATTATTACAATTTACCGCTAGCAATAATAAGGAGCTAGTAGAGCAAATTTGAATGAGAATAATTAAAATAATAGAAATCACTCTCTTCTATTAGGGAACCTTACAAGGCTTTATTCATATATGGCCCCAAATTCGGGGCAATTGGCGTTGGTAGCATGATTTGGATTACAGAGAATTCACGGAGTATAATCAAATTCAGCAGTAATTTTGGCAGTATAGTGATTTCAGGCGTTTCCTGAAGTGAACTAGTAAGTGATGACCTTGGATTAGGTAATTATTATTAATTCACTCCAGAGTAGGAGGCGTAAGTAAGAGGTAAATAAGCCCTCTGAAAGGGACCTACCTGATATGGACGAGTACCCTGGCGTCGATCATGCCAAGCATCCTTGACAGGTCGTTCTTGCCGCTTTCGGAAACTTGCCCCACGTAGGTTCCATTTAGCGCATCGATCGGGCGGCCCCACTCTTCCGCCCCCATCCAACAACCAAACTTCAACCAGTACGCAGTTCTCCATACATCAGGCTCAATCTACAGCACTATGGACTAAGATATTTGGCCATCTGCTGCACCCAGGCATTGATTCTTTTAGCGAAAACCTGAAGGTTGCCGATCTTGGCGCCGGCACTGGGTTAGTGCATTACACACATGACAGTGTACCCGCTATGGCTTACAGATCTTACACTACCGCACCGCTCGACGGATTCGATGTGGATACCCGCCTAAAGAATGGCTCCAAGCCATGTAAATATCCGAAATTGAGACATCTTCACGAAGGTGCGGGACGAATTGGTGGAGCAATATGACATCGTTCATGTGAGGCTGTTGATTGTCGTTGTTAAAGACAATTCAGCAGCAATTCAGCGCAATCTTCTACGGATTCTCAGTATGGCCGCATCATTGACTTAAGAAGCTGCAGGGCAGCCAGAGCCTGTTGACTAACGCACGTTCCACAGAGCCCGGAGGAAGGATTCAGTTGATTGAGCCAGACATTCCTTCGATGCGGATTATGAAGACCAACCCCTCGAATAGTAACGGAGCTGTGCAGCCGCTATTCAGCACATGGTGCACAGACGAAGAGATATCGTCCCTGGTATTGAAAGCTGCACGCTAATCGAAAGGAGGAGCGAACAGAGGTGGGTCGAAAAGCGCGGAGAGGAGGCGGATTTAATTAAACTATGAGAACCGCTGGAACGGTGAACTGGAAGCCGATGGTGTCAAAGCTGCTGGTGCAATGTCGATGACGCACGGCCCTGCATCATATGCAGCTGTCAGTCTGTGCTCGGTGTTGGTCTTGCGGCCCCCACGCTGATCCTTCATCCTGACCACGTCTCCCTCCAGCGCCCGCTTCTAGACCTTCAGAGTCTATCTGTAACTTCTCTGCGCGATCATCCATCTTGACTGGCCTCAAATCTTGCTGTCTCGAGCGTCCTCAGACTTCCAGCAGCATCCTTCCAGTTGCCATGGCCTCTTTGCCCACAATTGTCCTAGTGCACGGCGCCTGGCACACCCCGCAAAACTACCAGAGCTATATCGACGCGCTGAAGGCGAAGGGATTCACCGTGCACTGTCCGCAACTGCCTAGCTGCAGCGGCGCATCCCCTTCCAAGGCCTCTCTGCCCGAAGATGTCGCCTGCGTGCGCGACGTCGTCACACGTCTCGCCGACGCGGGCGAGCGTGTCCTGATGCTCATGCATTCCTACGGCGGGGCGGTCGGCACCGACGCCGTCGAGGGTCTGGCCTTCTCCGAGCGCAAAGCTGCCGGCCTGCCGGGGGGAGTCGTCCACTTGCTGTACCTGTGCGCGTACATCCTGCCGCCCGGCAGCACGGTCTTCGGCGTCTTCGAAGAAGCCGGCGTCGCGCACCTGTGGCCCGAGTTCGTGGACAATGCCGAAGACGGGTCTACTTTCCCCAGGGACCCGGTGCTGCTGTTGCTCAACGGCATCGACGACAAGGAGGTGGTGGACAGGGCGCTGTCGCACCTGGTGCGCGCGCCCATGTCGATCTTTACCACGGCGACCAAGGGCAGCGCGTGGAGGATCGTGCCGGCGACGTATATCCATACGCAGCAGGACTACGCGGTGGGCCGGCCGTATCAGGATCTCATGTTGGAGAAGGTGAGGAAGGAGGGGGTGACGCTGCGGACGGAGGAGTATGATGCGAACCATAGTATTTTCATTACGAAGCAGGAGGAGATGGTCCAGGCGGCGTTGAAGGCGGCCGCAGACGAGAGAAACCCGAAGTGATGCGATTTGACTAGGCTGTAGGTTGAAGTAGTCACGGTAGGAGAAGAAGTGAGTTCCAGTGATGAATGCCATGGGCTGTGATGAAATAAATTAAATTAATGCATGTCGTCATTATTATTAGTGTTCAGATATATAACTTGTTCATCCAGTTTAGGGCTCGCTACTGTCGGCTGTGAGATGATGAGAGAGGCGAATCTGGCTCGAGTCCACAACCCGATCCGGTTCAGTCACGGACTCCCTCTCAGCCGGAAGGTCACTCAGTGGTGTGTCTACACCTCCTTCGAGGGTCTCATAGTTGCTCTTGGACGTGCATCTCCACGCGAGGTTGTTGGATCTTAGGGATCGCAGGTACTCGTTGGCGTCTTTGCTGCGGTTCGTGGTCACTATTTTCCGGTGCCAGGCCTTGAAGTACGCCGGCAGCGTGGGAAGACAGGCGCAGATTATGGCCAACGGGGTCTCTGTCGACGTCCAGACGCCGACATCCACCAAAGTGTCTGTGATCGAGTTAGTAGTGGGGAAGCAGCCCGATTTTGAGGCATCTTACAGGTAATGTCGTTGTTATCTATGGAGCCTAGACTCACGATGCGGAGGATGCTGCTTATGCAGACGCTGTGGGAATCAGTCAGCGCGAGAGAAAAAGAAAAGTTCCACTCAAAGGGAGGAGGGTCGTACAAGCCTCCGAGCAGAAAGATCCCTGAAATAGCAAGCTTTCGGTGGGTGGTGATATTCAACCGCCAGACCAACGGCAGCGGCAGACAGAGAATGACGACATCCGTCAGAAGATTGGCGATGGCGTTGCCATAGTAGAATTTGGTCGTGCCGATGCAATGCTGCGCGACAGCGGGATCCCACGCTCCCTTCACGGGCGTGCAGGTGAAGATCTGGGCGAAGACGACCCCGATCATCCAGCCCAGGACTAGCAGCCCGACGGCAAGCGTGACATGGCGGAACGTCTTGCTGCGGAAGATGCGCCGGTACATGAGAAGAATGGAGAACTTGATCGTGGACAAGGTGAGGGCGTAGAAGATGTTGTCGATATAGACAATCTGTGAATCATGTATAAGAGTCTGGTTGCGTCTATATTGTTTCTTTCGCTGATCTTCTCTCTCTCTCTCTCTCTCTGCTGAACATACCAGAAGGAATCTTTCGAGTTGGTCCGGCCGAAGAACATCCATGTGGAAGCCCGCGTAGCCTACCGTGCAAAAACAGATGCCCGAGATGTACAGTCCGGTCGATAAGACCAGCGCAACCAAGGCCGTCCAGTCATCCCAGCCGATGCTGTGATTCGCGCGCCTCGAGAGAAAACGAAGGAGGACGGTGGTGAAGGCCAAAGCCTGGAGAACAGTCGACACCGCGATGAGGGCAACGGCCTTGGGCGCCACCACGGGCGCCTGGGGAGGCGTTGCTGAAGACATTGTCAGTGGTGAGAAGAGACAGGGGTCGATGTTTGGACGATGAGACTGACATATACTACGAGGCCGTACATGTATTCCATTTGCTCCTCCTGGACCCTTCGAGGATCTGATGCAGGGATACGCCCCCAATCCTTCTCCACAACTATCTGATATCGGCATCCATCGTGCTGGCGCCACCGACGCTGCCAAAAAGTGCCATGGCACCAGTTGGTATTGGCGGCATTGTATACTGTAAGATTCTTGGCATCAACTGTCTCGAATCGTCAGGAGAATATATCATGCCATCCGCTAGGGCCATCACCATAGAACATCCCATAGGCCATATCGTCCGTCGTGTAATCTGCCGTGACAACGGAGGCCCGGCAGTTGACCGCGGACAGCGGCGTCCGCGCTTTTTGGTCCGCCCCGGAGCCCGCTGCACGACTGCCCGCCGTGTCGAACGGAAGCCCGCCACGCAGGAACATGGCGCTGCATGTCTAAGTCGAATATGCTTGTGTTTTCCTAGCGCTGTCCGCCTCAGATGCCGGCATCTTGGCCCCCACGACCTGTTTTGCGGGGTCCGACGGACCGTTTCGCGCCTTGATCACCTCTTCTCCAGATTTGCACTAGTGGTCGCAACTTGCTGGTTGGGAGATATCCCCGTGCGTCATACAAGCAGAGGAATTGCATGTTGTGCGAATAATAAGCGAGTTCAGCGCCCCGATTGTCCCGTCATCTCTGCCGGTAGGATCCTGGCGAAGACGAGTTATCATACCCGTGCATCCTTAGCACCTCTCGCAGCAGGAACGAAGGATCACCGACAGACAATGGCTCGGGATTTCAATCGACTAGAGCTCCATGGCCCCTACCTTGCCGTTGGCCAGAGCATGTTGATCAAGTTGGAAGGAGACGGTGTCTTCATTACCTGCAGGAGGCTTGAACTATGAAAGTGCCTGCATGTAGACCAAGCTCGATCTTACCTCGGTTGCTTCGCGATTTCCTCCGCCTCTGACCCCTTTGAAGATCTTATGATCTGTCGCCATGGCTATTGCACAGTGTCCGCACGGGGCCAGCCATGCCATGAATGGCGATGTTGCGAGAGAGTCGAGCAGTTCAACATAGACGCGTTCTATGATCGCGAGAGCTCAGTTACTGGCCCTGTGGGCATTGTTACCTGTCGATGATTTGTGTCCACGAACACGCCCAAGTTGCTGACTTTGCTTTGGTGAGCAACCCATCTAGCTTCCACTCCGGGGCCGTCACCTGATAAAGGAGAACCTGGGCGCCTTCGATGCCACCTTCTTCTCTGTCTCTCCTGCTGAAGTCGCCGCCATGGATCCTCAGCAGCGAATAATGGTGGATACATCCTATCAGGCCTTCGAGAATGGTCAGTGACCACTGCAGAGCCTGGACATTTTCAGGTCATTCACAAAGTGTGGCGGATATCACGATCGACAAATGCGCGGGCAGCAGAACGTTGGTCTGCTCTGCAATTTTCGCGGACGATTATAAGAGCATCTTGTTGCAGGATCCTGAGTAAATCCCCAAGTATGCAGCAACGGATTCATCAGGATCGACGTTGGCTAACCGCATTAGCTGGCTTTAAACTTCCGCGGTCCAAGTATGAATTTGGACTCTGCTTGTTCGAGCAGCCTAGGCGCTTTGCACATCGCCTGTCAGGATCGGCCGAATGGCACATTATGATTATTAGGAGTGTTCGACAGTACCGCCAAATCTACACGCTCCACGCACTCATTGGCAGCCGTAATGCCGTCGTGATAGTTGATAACGCATTGCACTATCTGAACAGCACGGACTCGACGGCCACGATTGCACTGTGGACTTCTGTCTGGGGCGACCAGCCGGCTTCCCTCGAATACATCATAACAAGCCAGGAGCAAAAGTAAATGGGGCGAATTCCTCGCATTTTCTTTCTTCAGAGATCGCTTTGCTCAACTCGAGCAGGTTCTGTATGAGCTGGGATGCGAGTGGTCACAGGGTAAGTAACCAGGAGCATGACACGCATGTCGTCGAAACTGCTAACCGAATCCTGAATTGCTTTACGATTCTGCCTCCACCGTGAATAGTCCGAAATATAGCCAGACATTCTCAACTGCCCTTGAATTGCGATCGTTCACTTCCTCAAAACCTTCGGGATTGTCCCGGGTGTGTATTAGGCCATTCTTCTGGTGAAATAGCAGCTGCGTAAGTATTGGAAAGTTCTGTAGAAGACACAACAGTTACTGTGCGGGCGCAATAAGCAACGAAATAACAGTGGGAACTGCGTTCCATCGCTGCCGCTTGGTCAGTCGGCTACCAAAACTGCATCAGTCGCCTCAAGCAATGCTAGCAGTGGCTTTGAGCGAGGACGATGTTCAGCCTTTCCTGGCCAGGCTAAAAGGATCATGGTACAACGGTCGAATTGGTTGTGTCAACAACCCCAAGAGCGTCACATTAACGGGAGACAATGATCAACTCCAATTTATTGAGTCGTGGCTGAAGGAAAGTCAACATCTGGCCAGCAAGCTCCGTGTCATGTTGCATATCATTCTGTCTTCATGGAGGCAATAAAGGACACTACTTAGAATCCTTAGGGGTCTGGACAGGAAACTCTTCAAGGATACTTCAGTGCCAATGGCATCGAATATCACTGGGATCGTTATCCCTCCCCGGGCATGCTGCGTGATCCCGAATATTGAGTGAATAACCTGGTCTCTCAGGTTAAATTCTCTCCTGCTGTATCTCTGCTTTTGGTTAAATCAGGAAAAGCGCCTCGAAAACGCCTCACTTCCAGATCACAGTCATTGTCTGGCATCAGAGAGCTCATGGAGATAAGGCCACACTAGACCTTTCAAGGTCCACTCCAGGAGATATTAGCAGACACCGGTACGAAGCATCGGAACAATTACCTTTCAGCATTGCATTGACAAAAAAAGATACTGCAAAAAGCGTCCTGCAAGCCATTGGCCGGCTGTGGGCCCTAGGATACCCTATCGAGACGCTGAACATTAATGGGTTTAGCGGCAAGCCACGAGCAGTGCTGACGGACTTGCCAGAGTATCCATTCAACCACTCACATTGGTTCGAAGACAGGACGAGCACTGCATTTAGGCTTCGATCTCATAAGCGGCACGAACTGCTGAGGAGCTTGATTCCAGGATCGAATTCCTTTGAAGCGCGTTTGCGCAGCTTCATCAGCTTAGAGTAGCTTCCATGGCTGCAAGATTACCAAGTAAGGAGTGCCTTCTGTAAGTAAAGCTCTCTGAGCTAACATGGTTTCGTCTTTAGTCTCCTTTCTGGATGGTGATATATGTCTGACTGGGTCTCTGGATGTGGCCTAATGAGGATACTAGCTACGGGGCGTGGATTTGTATTTGTATAGAACTGCCTGCAGGCTTGTCCGCGGTGACCATATCAGGTATGCGGTCTTTGGACGGCGAAACAGGTGCTACAGTGACTGTGCCTACTTCGACTCAATAAGCTTTTTCGTCCCGCCTGGGCAGCTCCAAAGCATAAATGGCTGAGTCAGCACCCGAAAGCATGCCACGCAATTCCTGGCATCTGCTCGTCCGCTGCAGGACTATTGCTGGCAAGAGAGACACAAACACATGCATTGACAGGGATATTGCATAGATAGGCCCGTCGGTGATCAACGTCGTAATACAAGCAAACTCCCGAGATCCCCGGCATACAGCATTCTCTCCCTCTCGTGCGCACTCTGCTCCGGTCGGTAAGGCTTGTCGACTCTGCAGCCCAGGAGTCCAGACCGCGCAGGCCACGGGGCGCGCTAAGCCCGGGTGGGACTAGCGCGGCGTGACAGATGGCGCTCTCCTGGATGTCACGTGTGGCTTGATCACTGACTAACGACGAAACTATCCATCCCCAGCTCCACGCAAGGCCCCCCGTTCGTGCTCCAGGCCAACCAACCTTCCATTCAGTCCCCCTTTCTTTTTCTTCTTTTCTTCTTTTCTTTGTCCGCTCTCGTTCTCGTACTTTTCTCTGTATTACTACAGGCCGCAGACTGAAAATTTTTTCTATTCATTCACCTGCCCTGACACCAGCTCTGCTGAGAGACCTCGACCCGCTTCAGACGCCCCTCTCTGTGTCCCTCAAGCCTTACGTCGGTCCCGGTCCGCATTCCTCCTTGGTCCCTGCCACACCACCATCCGATTGTGACTGAGTGCATGTTCAACTCCCGTGCGATTCCCAGTTGTCGATGATATAGCTCCGGATCCATCGAGGCCCGCTTCCGCTTCCCGTCGCGCCGTCCCAAACCTCCGCCAGCGATCCGTGGAAGCAGCACCATTCTGGTTCCAATCTATGCGGCGCCCTGCCCCTTAACAGCTATTTAATCCTCTCGACGTGACTGAACGACAGCCATCACTCCGACTCCTTTCCGGCGTATTGGTCTGGGCGATTCGATCCGGCCTAGGAGGAACTTCCTGCGGGGTTCGGGCTGGTCCAGCCTTCCATTGACGCCTTTCCTGTCTCGACAAGGGTGAAACGTGAGAAGAAACGGCTTCGGCGGACGGTCGCCCACCAGTCAACATGTCCTTTCAAACCCAATATCACGAAGACTCGGATGCGGATGATGAGTACGAGCGGAGTGTCGTAGCCTCCCCGCAACTCCCCACCGATTCTGAGATCTCACCGACGGACTCGGAGTCCCTATCTGCCGAACACACACCGACGACGTATGGGAATTCCGGAGAGGATCACGGTTCCCCTCGGACCATCATTACGGAATGGACCGCAGAGGAGTGTGCGGACTTTGTGACCGGCCTGGGCCTCCGTCAGTACCGCAACGCATTTCTAGGTTTGTCGTCGTCAACCCGTCGTGTTGCTTGCTGTTGGTCTGACATAGTACAGAAAACGAA